AGTCACAAAATGTGTGAACCCATACCCAATAAGAATAGAGCGCCATTGGTAATACCAAGTCTGATAGTTAAATGAGGTAAGTTTAACAGAAGCCTGCAAGGAAGAGGTTATTTAGAGAGGATTGAGCAGAGGAATATGTATTTGGCTGAGAGGAGATGATGGTTGAAGGAGTTGGGTTTATTATCTGATTAACAAATGAGTTAGGTAGGGAAGTGTCAAATGGGGATGCAATAAAGGAAGAGAAGAAATAGTCTGGTTATCAGAAGGCCCCAACATGTGGTTTGTGGGTGGTGCAACCATTGAAAAGGTTGGCATAGTTGATGCTGGTAAAGAGCCCAGCGACTGAATGAGAGAAGGGTTACTGACATAGTTGGCGGAGATTAGAGGGGCAGGGATGGAGGTTGCAGCAAAAGAAAGCGGGTGTGATCCGACAAGAAGAGAAATGTGATCGGCAACAGTGGTATGACCGGAAACTGTGGCTGTAGTGATGCGTTCTGTACCAGAAACTGAAGTAGAGACTGGAAAAGAGTGAGTAGAGGAGTTTTCTTTGTTTCCCATGGTTTTTGGTGAAACGAGATGAATCGCAAAGCCGTTAAGCAGTAGGCTCTGATGATGGAATATATACCGCAGCAGAAGCAATCACAGTATCTTATTCACGTGTAAATTAAACAATTAGCACATACAGAGATTATACGAGTTACCTTTTGAAGCGTGAACAAAGCAAATCGATATCCTTCTCCAGTTTCAGAATTGCAAGACCTCAGCAACCTTCCACAGTCTTCTACTGTGTTACCCAAATAAAAACCGAAAAATAGAGAACTTCGGGTGGGCGAAATTCAAGGAAGAAAAACGTGTTCTTTTTAGTGCAAAAAATGGCCAGCTATATACCATGTATATATAGCTGCATTTTTTTAGGTCAAAATATTTTTCCAAAACCTGTTAGGTTTTCTTCTTCCACTAAGGAAAGGTTTCCTTTATTTCCTATTATTCAGGCACAGTAGGGACTACAAAATTTAATTAACAAGGCTTCCTATTATGAAATTAATTTCGAAATTTGAAATTAATTTCTACCATAGTAAAGTACGAATTATTCCACTAAATATTCGTAATTGCACTCCTTAGTTCAATTTCGAAATTCTTCCATAAAACCTTATTTAACTCCCCATGCTAAGATTCAGATACTAACCAATCAAATTAAAATTACTGACAATTTAATTTATTGATTACTTCCTTTGGACTTTCACTTAACTTATTTCATGTGTCGGATACAAAATCCATCGGCCGGGTTTACACATGAAAACTTATAAGCTTTCATAAAGGAGTATCATCAATCTCAAAAGACCGAGACATGGATTCTATCAACTAATTATTACTTCGCTAATGTATATCATTATTGTCCAACTTACCAGGCTTATTGACCCACGAAAGAATCTCGCCTTTTAATAAATCAAAACAATAAATGATATACACAACTAATAATAATTATATCAAAATTAAGAGTATAAGTACATTGAATGGACTAGAGAAATTATTTTATTAAGTTAAAATACCTATCTCTACTTGATCCGTTCAATACATACAAAATATACTAGCACAAGAAGTTGGAATTAGACCATTCCCATAATCAAGATAAATCATATTTAATCTTGTGCTACAACCATTCCGATGGCTTGTCCAATTCCATCATTAGATTGTGAACATAAACTTTATGACTTATAAGAACCGATGATCTAATCTTCCGTGTATAAGCTAAACTCTATACACTAAATCATCTACTATATAAGCAATGGACACACAAACAAATACATGATCTATTTAAAATAAAACTTTATTGAATTGAATAAATAAACAAACAATTGTTCCATAAAGAATACTATAACAATACGCATGATTTATAGTATATCCTAACATCTGATACCATAACAAAGTTGTATTAGAACTTCAAAGGCTGCTCTTTATTAATGAACACATAGGCGTATTTATACATAGCAATCCTTGATTAAGGAGGAGTAGAATCCCTGAAGAAGGGGAAGAAATTTAAGTTAATCTAAACTAACAAAGATAAGGATTACAAGATAGCTTTCTATCTAATAACTCCTCAGTATAGTAGACCTTTAAATCATTAAACAAGAACCTTCAAATCAGTGAAAAATCAAAATCCCGTCTCCTAAATCAAGTCACCAGAAAATCCACCAGGGTTTAAAACCCCCAATTTGAAAATTTATTTTTGACAAAAAAATCCATCTATTACGGCTTATATTCGACTTGATTTTGAGGCTGACTGGAAGAGACAGGGGAGATGATAAAGGGATAGAAAGAAAAGAAAATTAGAGAGGCGGAAGAAGTAGGTTGAGTTTGGGGGGGGGGGGGGGGATGGGGGAGGGAGGAGAGTAAAAAAATTGGGAAGGGGGAAGGACCTCGGTGGGGGTGAAACTCGTTGTGTAAGAAATGCTTTTTCTAAAAAAATCTTTTTTTTTCATTTTTTGGTATTTTAAATTAAAATCATCAAATTTTACTCGCTTCTTAAAGCGGATAATCACGCACTTTATCCAACTCAGCAAAGCAAATGCCACATAGACTTAGTCAATAGTCAGAAGGATTTAAAATATTATGTTTGAACGAGTAGAGGTGTTTAGATGAAACTTCATTAAGTACGGGTCCGGGATGTCAAAACGAACAAGTAGAGATGTCTATTACGCTATTCTGCCATTCTAAAACTCTTAATACTTATGAGCCGCGCCACTTTTAATCAACTATCCTAAACTAGCTCTAAAGTACAAAAAAAAATTAGCATCGAAATGAAATATAAGTGTTAATATAGTTATACAGTGGATGAATACAGACTTCTACATAGCCGAATTGATTGGCAACTAGTAAAGATAATCACTATTTCATCTTTTGCTTGGTAAATATACCCTGATCAAATCTGTGACAAAACTTACAATGTAAATACAGGAAAGACTGAAAAAACAATAATCCAAGAGGTTAATTATCATAAATAATTTAACTACGTCAACAAGGTCGTTGTAGTATAGTGGTGAGTATTCCCGCCTGTCACGCGGGTGACCCGGGTTCGATCCCCGGCAACGGCGCATATATGTTTTTGCTGTTCTTTTTTCACTCATTTTTCTTGTTTCCTTTCCTTCTTTCTGAGTCAGGGTTTTATCTTCTTCATCTTCTTTCTCATCTAACCAAACCATTATTTTGGACTAAAAAGCAAATATTATATTCACGCATCTAAGAATATTTTATAAAACCACTGTCTATAGCTAATTAAAGTTTCACCACGAAATGTGCAAGTGATATTTCCTCATCTATGGCTATGAAGATGCAGAAAGAAAAAAGAAAAAATAATCTAAAGACGGGAAGATGATGAATAATGAATTGATAAATCAAAGAGTTGAGGATATTTAAAAGTTTATTCTAACTCTGCTTATTTACTGGACTAGATAAACCCCAACTCTACTCTCGGGCGGAGGGCAGAAGAGGTTCATCCAAATTCTGTTCATTAGTAAATTACGTTGGAGAGATATCAACAACAACAACATCATACTCAGTATATGGTCAATTTTGTTTATGTATATATAACTTAGATGTTGTATCCTCTTGACTTTTTCTTTTCTTTTCGCGCGTCCACTGAAGTCTTGATAATACATAAAAGATTAAATCATCGATTCTTACAAGTTATAACATTTATGTTTACAATCTAATGTGATGAAATTGGACAACTATCGAACGGTTATAGCACAAGATTAAATATAATTTATCTTGATTATATGAGAATTGTTTAATTTTGACTTCTTATGTTATTAGTACATTCTATATGTCTTGAATGGACCGGTAGAGATAAGTATTTTATACTGACTTAATAAGATAATTGTCTAGTCCATTATATGTACTTCTACTCTTAATCTTGATATAATTATTATTAGTTGTGTACGTTGTTTATTATTTTCTTTTATGTGTCAACATGCTGATAAATTGGACAATATAATATATATTGGCGAATTAATAATTAGTTGATGGAATCCTTGTCTCAGTCTTGAGATTGATGATATATCTTTATGCAAACTTATAAGTTTTCATGTGTAAACCCAGACGGTGAATTTTGTATCCGACACATGAAATATGTTAAGCGAAAGTTTAAGGAAAATAATTAGTAAATTAAATTATAGTAATTTTATTTAACTGATAGTAACTGAATTACATGGGAAGTTAATAAGATTTAAAGGAATAATTTTGAAACTAAACTAAAAAGGTACAATTACGAATTTTTAATGGAATAATTTGTAATTTATTATGGTATAATAATACGAATTAAGAAAATGCTCAAAGACAATACTAGAAAAACTAGCGAGTAAGACATAGATAGATAATGGAAGACCTCTATTTTTGGGTCTTCTTTTTGCAGTGAGAGAATGTGAAGGAAAAGGGACAACAAGTTTGTGGTTAGAAATTGACGTAAATTGCATTAATTCCCAAAGTTTTAACTAAAATGTATAACTTGATAATTTTAAAAATAAGGTGAAAAAAATGATTAAAATTTGGATGAGTTAGTAAACATTAATTTGTATAAAAAATCTCCGCATAAACAAACCACAAATTGAATATATAGTGGGTCTTTTGCAACCCCACATTTAAACCACCATAAAAGGAATTATTTTGTAGGGGCTAGCACAAATGCCACAAAACAAATTCATAGTAGGGTTTTTTTTTACTACCCCATGAATAAACCGCCACAATTTAGTGAGTTTATTGTAATATTAGAATGCAAATTATGATATTAATGTACCTGCCAGTTCTTTACAACATTTTGACTTAACCAAAATGTCGCCATTCTTCTCAGTAGTAAAAAGTATTTAAAATCTAGATGAAATATGTATGGAATACCAATGATATAAAATTGGAATGTTGCAATATGTAAGGTCCATGAGTAATCTCATAAAAGGCAGTATAATAATAAAGTAGTCCTAATATTAAAAACTAAAAATTATCCTGCAATAATTCTTTATATAATAAAGAGCCAACAAGCTGAGGATCGCTGAATTCTATAAGCTCTAGTCAAACAAGCTGAACATCAACTCATCATCACTCTCTTCTTTTACTTCTTCCTGCAACGAGAGAAAACCAACAAGAGAAAACAATATATGAGCTTTTGCAACTTAGTTAATAAAGAGGGGAGGGGCGGGGGGGGGGGGGGGGGAATAATATTCCATCCTATAGCATGCACGACCTGATAGCGGTTGGGCAAAAGGAAAAGCTATCAGACATCAATCTAATCAACAATCAAAGCGGTTTGGCCAAAGGGTCGGGAAGAGAGAACAACTATACTTTATGGTCACAATTCACTTACATATATATAGACTTACATTGTTGGGAAAAAATTCTTTTCTGAATATTTCAGGGAATTTGTTCAATTGACTCATAATATAGTTTTTTCACACTTGTTAACTAAACTAGAAGTAAAATATTATGAGCATGCATGTACTAGTATTTAATGTCAGAGTTTTAAAACATGCATATAACGCAGAATTAACATCGAATCATGACTAACTTAAATAATTACTAGAGTAAATACTGGTTATTGCAATCAAGATACACTACAAAGAAAAAATAAAATTAGCTATGAACTTCGTCGTCACTGTGTCTAAATCGCTCGTAGGTAACAAAAACTTTTTAATAATCTGCAGCTAATCCATCGCAAAATAGGATTAGCGACGAATTTTTTTGTTTAGCTACATAATTTGTTCATCACTAATTCCTGTTTTTTTTAGTATTGATATAATTTTAGACAGAATACATATACATGTATAACTTTAGACAGAAGAATTACTAGTGGATCATGAAAAATTAGTGGAAGATTGAATGTATACCTTCTTCTTGTCATTGGCGGAAGGTGCAGCGGCGGCATCCTGACCAGTAGTAGGAGCGGGAGCAGCGGCGGTAGCAGCCGCGGTTCCGCCGACGCCGACGTTCATGACAAGTTCATCCACGTTCATCTTCTGACAAAGTTTGGCAAAAAGGCTCGGCCAGTATGATTCCACCTTCAAATTTGCTGCTTTTATGAGTGTACCAATTTTCTCGGCATTAATAGGAATGCCATCATCGTGAAGGATCAAACAAGCGTAAGTACAAGCAAGTTCACCGATGGAAGACATATTTCCTCTGATTTCTTTTCTATATTTCAAGAATAATATTGCAGAAACCCTAATAGAGTAGTAGGAATTTTGAGACTGTGAAACGATTTTGTGGGGTTATTTATATAAGTTTTCTTTTCATTCCTTTCCTAAAGATTTATGATTTATAATATACATACTCCTATTTCAATTTGGTTAAGAGGCCGACCAAAAATATATTTACTGAAAGGAAAAAAAAAAGGGGGGGACAGATATACGATTTCCATATATGTTGAGGAATTCATTTACTTTTTATTTATTTTGGGAAAAAAGAAGGATTTCAGAATGATTAAAACCTCAAAATATTGTTTAGAAGTAATTGGACTTTTTGATTTAGTTGTTATTGGAAAATTTCGATTTTGATCCTTGATATAGTTTGCTAAGCATATTTACCCTTGAAGTGATTAAAATGTATAATTTTTTTCCCTTTACATATGAAATATGTTATATTTAGACTATTTTTAGAATTATATTACCATAAAACGTGAAATTATAATAGTATAATTTAATAACACATGAATAATCAAATGACTTAACAATAAATATATTCATTAAACTTGTGAAGATTTACAAGCAGAAGGATAAATGATTAGGTCAAATACGATCGATCAGAATCAGAAACTATCAGTATTTTAGGGACTAAAAGAGTGAATTTCCTATTGTTTATTATGTTATTGGTTTGCTTCAGGAATACTTTTACTACTAGTAGTGTAGTGATTACAACTATATTATTACTCCAACCATCATTAACATTAGTATTTATTGTTTTAGCTTAAATATATAAACTTAATTTAAACATAAATAAAACCCTATGGAAAAACTAGGTTATACTAAATTTGGATCGTTGAAAGCTTTTCTTGCCTATAGAATTGGCACAAATTTGTTAGAAAGTTAATATACTAGTCCTAGTAAGTACTGCTTGTTATTTTATTTTTTTTTGTTTAAGTTTAAAACCCTAGATGTAGTTGAGGTCTCGAGGACTTTCGAGTCTTTTTAGTGGTTAGAGTTTTATTACATGGTCAATGCATGTTCTTGATGCATTATAGATGTATGAGTTATTAGTTGGTAATAATATTATTTTATTTTATTACTTGTTTGATAAAAAGAACCTATGGCCGAAAGACATTTATAATGATGAAAAGACACATACAAATGATGACTCCTTGAACAAAATAAATATGTTATGACCTCTTCCTGAGCAATGTGTGGGTAAACAAAATACAGAGCTTGTCATGTGGAATCTTTAACAAATAGTTAAAGGCAAAATACCTTAAAACCCCCCCTTAAACTTGATATGGATTATTATTTACAGCCTTAAATTATTTGTGGTCTTAATTATCCTCCTCAACTTGGCCTTTTGAGAGTCATTACTGTTGAACTTTTAAGCCATTGGGCTTTAAAGATGAGTAGTGTGAATTGGGTAATGGTGGGAAATTAAATGGACTGGGTTGGGCTTCAATAACTGACCCGGTTTATTTGGTTAAACTAGTTGACCCAGTTTAATAAATAACGTTAAAAGAACGTATCTTCCTATCATATGTCTGTTCACAGTGAACAGACACCATAGTTCACAGTGAACAAACACCATACATTTTCACAAAGCCAACAATTGCCTATAAATTCAGGCATGACTTCCGTTCTAAAAACTCAGAAATTCAGAAACTACAAAATCACTTTCCCTCTCTCTGCAAGTTCATTAATCCAAAAAGGTCTTGAGCTTTCTTGTTCCTTGAAAATTGTAAGTGTGATTCTCTCTGCTCTTTGAGTTCGTTGGTATCCTGTTTCTAGTATTGCCACTGTTGCAGGAAGGTTTTATTCCGTTTTATTCTGGGAGGATTTAATCCATTACCTTGGCAACTGTGAGGGGGTTAAAATTCCTTAAGGACACACAAGCCAATTGTGGACTCGGATTATTTATTCTATTTCTTCTTCCTCTTGTTTTTCCTTAACAGTGTTGATTTTGATTAATACACGTAATTGTGAAACGATTTAAAGAAAAGGAAAAAAAAATTGTTTTGTTTAAGAATAAACGAAACAGAAACAAAATCGTTTACTGCCTGGTTTCAATTCGTTCTTGCTTCTGATTGGTTAACCTTGAAATTGTTTAGTTTGGAGATTTAGATTGCCAGAGTTATTTCTATTTTGTTAACTTTTCAGTGTCGCAGAAATATAATCTGATCTTGCAGAGAGATCAGATTAATTTCTGCCGCATCAAATTGTTGTGTTCGCTGATTTTGCAGTGTGTTATTTTCTGCTGCAAGTTTGATGTTTTTTTTTTTCAGCAGTATTTTTGCATCAATTTTGGAGATTAAAGCTTAATTACTTTCTACTCCGGTATATTTTTTACTCCGGTCTAAAGAATATAAAAACTTTACCGGGGTATTAAATTTGAATACGGTTTGAAGAATATAATAAACTTCAGCGTTTATGTTTTGAATAGTTGGTTTGGTATTCAGTTTGAAGATATAAAACCTTCCCTGATTTTGAAAAAAGTTCAGTTTGTTGCCAACTTTACAGAAAAATGACAAATGAAAACCAAACTAATAGAAATGCTGCTGGAACGGGTGCTACTATTACGAGTGTTGCTACCTCGTCGAGCCGTTCAACTCCTGCTCATGCTATGGCACCAGCAGAAAAACCCGGAAAATTTTCCGGTATTGACTTCAAACGTTGGCAAATGAAGATGCTCTTCTATCTTACTACGTTGAGTTTGCAGCGATTCATCAAGGAGGATCCTCCGGTCGTGGCTGAAGGCACTCCGGATGACGAACGATATGTTGTAACTGAAGCATGGAAACATTCTGATTTCTTGTGCAAAAACTACATTTTGAGTTGTTTGGAAGATAGCTTGTACAATGTCTATAGTGTCATGGAAACTTCAAAAGCGTTATGGAATGCGCTTGAGAAGAAGTACAAGACTGAAGATGCCGGACTTAAGAAGTTCGTGGCTGCAAAATTTTTGGATTTCAAGATGGTTGACACTAGGTCGGTCATAACTCAAGTCCAAAAATTACAAGTCATTGTGCATGACCTCCTTGCTGAAGGTATGACCCGAATCAATAATTTTATTAATAAGATTTATCTTGTTATTAATTATGAATTTATTATTGAAGGTATGGTCATAAATGAGGCCTTTCAAGTCGCTGCTTTCATTGAGAAGTTACCTCCGTTGTGGAAGGACTTTAAGAACTATCTAAAACGCAAGCGTAAGGAAATGACACTTGAAGATTTGATTGTTCGTTTGAGAATAGAAGAAGACAACAAAAATGCTGAAAAGAAGTCACGTGGAAACTCGACAATAATAAGGGCTAACATTGTTAAGGAGGCGCCACAAAATAAGAAGAGAAAGAAGGCTTCTGGACCAAAGAATTACCCAAGCAAGAAAAAGTTCAAGGGTAATTGCCACAACTGTGGAAAGTCTGGGCATAAGGCCGTGGACTGTCGTGCACCAAAGAATGATGTACTAAAGAATAAGAAGAAGAAGAATCAAGCTAACATGGTTGAAAATGTTGAAGAAATGGAGGACTTGTGTGCCATGTTGTCTGAATGCAACTTGGTAGGAAATCCTAAAGAATGGTGGATTGATTCTGGAGCCACCCGCCATGTTTGTGTTAACAAGGAGTTATTTTCTTCCTATGCCCCCGCAGGACCCGACGAGACAATTTTCATGGGAAATTCGTCTACAGCCAAAATTGAAGGAGTTGGCAAGATTGCGTTGAAGATGACATCGGGAAAGATTGTGACTCTAAACCAAGTTCTCCATGTTCCAGAATTTCGCAAGAATCTTGTGTCAACCGCACTTCTTGTCAAGAATGGATTCAAATGTATTTTTGTTTCTAATAGTATTGTACTAAGTAAGAATGATGTGTATGTAGGAAAAGGTTACCTGAATGAGGGCCTTTTTAAGCTAAATGTAATAGCAGTTCCTATCAATAAAGTTAATGCTTCTTCTTACTTACTTGAGTCAAACACTTTATGGCATGCACGCCTAGGTCACGTCAACTTCAAAACATTGCGAAAAATGATAAATTTGGAAGTATTGCCAAAATTTGATTGCATTAATTCCAAATGTAAATATGTGTGGAATCAAAGTATTCTAAGCATCTTTATAAGTCCGTTGAAAGGAATTCAAGTCCTTTAGACTTAATTCATACAGATATTTGCGACATGAAGTCAACACCATCTCGCGGTGGGAAAAAGTATTTTATTACTTTTATTGACGATAGTACGAGATATTGCTATGTTTACTTACTTAGTAGTAAAGATGAAGCAATTGATGCTTTCAAGCAATACAAAAGTAAAGTTGAAACACAACTAAACAAAAAGATGATAAGAAGTGATAAGGGTGACGAATATGAATCTCCTTTTGAAGAAATATGTTTGGAAAATGGCATTATTCACCAAACAACTGCCCCTTACTCTCCACAATCTAATGGAATTGCGGAGAGAAAGAATCGAACATTGAAAAAGATGATGAATGCGTTGTTGTTAAGTTCTGGTTTACCACAGAACTTGTGGGGGAAGCTATACTTACAGCTAACCGAATAATCAACTGTGTACCTCATAGTAAAATACAGTCTATTCCTTATGAAAAATGGAAAGGAAGGAAGCCTAGCTTGAAGTACTTCAAAGTGTGGGGGTGTTTAGCTAAGGTACAAGTTCCTAAACCTAAAAATGTCAAGATAGGTCCAAAAACGGTTGATTGTGTATTTATTGGATATGCAACCAATAGTAAGGCATATCGTTTTCTGGTTTATTAATCAAAAAATCCTGAGATTCAAGTTAATACGGTGATAGAATCAGATAACGCTGAATTCTATGAAAAAATTTATCCGTATAATAAGGAAAATGGCTCGTCCTACGAAAAGTCCAAGAGACCTCGGGAAGAAACAACAGATATTGCTCCTAATGAGGAAAATCCGAGAAGAAGTAAACGTCAAAGGACATCTACTTCATTCGGTCCAGATTTTCTGACTTTCCTGCTAGAAAATGAGCCTCGAACCTTCAAGGAAGCAAT